ATTCATTAGTTGATGGACACTTGATTTGTTTTCATAATTTGGCTGTTGTAGATAATGCTGCTATAAATATCAGGGTGCGTGTATCCCTTGAATTAGTATTCTTGTATTCTTTGGGTAAATATCTAATAATGCAATTGCTGGATCAGATTGAACTTTTAAAAGCCTCTCAAGGTTAGAAAGCCAAACCAAGTATTTGCCAGATGTCATCTGAAATAACCTATAGATTTGGGTGAATTCCTCTCTTCCCTAAAGGTCCCTTAAATATCCTGGTATTTCTGGGGCCTCAAGGTGTGATCTTTATTACCTGATATAGCTGGGAACCCTGTAAGGAAGGTATCAGGCAGTCTTTCCAAGGGGCTTTATTGGGTCCATAAAGTCAATCTTAGTTTCCTAAAGCTGTCTGGTCATATCTGGTTTTTTGAAGCTGTTTGGTCATATCTGGTTTTATGCAGATCATTCTCAACTATGACATTCTAGTCAAAGCCTTGGTAATATAACCAATGTTTTCAATTGTGTCCTGTTACAAGGAAAACAGATTTTTGTTGAACGTATGCAAGTTGTTTTATTGCCACAGAAGTAAAACAAAACAAAACAAAACACAAAAAACCCACTAAGCATTTCCAATTTCTGGAAGGATCAGTCAAGTAGGGAGAAAAGATAAATATTTTTATTCTGTTTATAAAAGAATAATTTACTAAATTATGGAGCTTAAAAGAAAACATAAAAATCTGGAAAACAAAACATTAAAGAACCAGAATTGTTTCAAACAAAAAGTCATAAAAATTATAATCATCCTCACCAGCTCATTAAATACCATGTTAATTCTTGTTCTACTTGGATCTAATTTTTCCATTAGAGTCTAGAAATTCTTATCTAGTTAGTGGTATGATCTTACAATGATCAGAACAATGTATTCTAGAGTACTTGTCAGAGTCCTATCCTGAATCTCTCTGAGGATGAAACACTTCTGCAAAAGCATCAGAATAAAATAATAATTGTCTGCAAATGATAAAATGACTTAAAAAATGACTGTGGTCAAAGATCTGATGAGAGTTTATTTGAAAAGGAAATTTAGTTTTTTCTGTGGCATATGGCAATTTAAGATAAAAGCTGAACAATGACCATATTGACAAATTTCTACGAACTTCAAACAATTCTAGAATATTTATAATATATATATATAAAACACCTAAGAAGGCTTATCATCCCTTCTTATTTGGCAATGCTGTCCATGTAACTTAACATACCAAATAAGCCTAGTTAGTTTAAAATCTCTCTTTTACAAGATGAGAGAAAAATATTTTGAGATTTTTCCAGGGACCTCTAGGAAATCTCAAAGTTAGCTTGAGGTAAAAAAGATTCTATTTAACATTTTATTTTGAAAAGTTGTCAGAAATGTAAAAATAGGACAGCCCGGGTGGCTCAAGCAGTTTAGCGCTGCCTTCGGCCCAGGGCCTGATCCTGGAGACCTAGGATCGAGTCCCACGTCGGGCTCCTTGCATGGCGCCTGCTTCTCCCTCTGCCTGTGTCTCTGCTTCTCTCTCTCCTCTCTGTGCATTCTCAGAAATAAATAAAATCTTTAAAAAAAGAAATGTAAAAATATTTGAACATTTTATTAAATAGGATTACAGATCATTATGAAACCATATTTATTTATTTAATCAAAGTGACAATAAGAGATTTCCAAGGCAAATACAGAAGGTTACAATGTAAAAATAAAATATTTTCTTTTCTTTTTTTTTATTTAGGACAGTCACAGAGAGAGAGAGAGAGAGAGAGAGGCAGAGACACAGGCAGAGGGAGAAGCAGGCTCCATGCACCAGGAGCCTGACGTGGGATTTGATCCCGGGTCTCCAGGATCGCGCCCCGGGCCAAAGACAGGCGCCAAACCACTGCGCCACCCAGGGATCCCAATATTTTCTTTTTCATATTGAGAAGACTCAGTTCTCTCCTGTAATCAAAGACCTTGATAAAGACAACAGAAATTATTTTGGCAAGACAAAATCTTAGCTTCCCAGGCAGGTTACCCAAAAGGTAAAGAAAAACATTTCACAATCTCTTATCAAGAGCCAACCAATAGTCCAGAAAACTTTATCTTTTTAACAGAGAGAAAGACAAACTCTAATTTTGCACCAGTGTACTTTTGATATTAAGGCTCATTCTTTAAAAACCTATAAATAAATCTATTCTAATCTTAGCCAGCTTGACCACACATAAAATTTGTTTCTCAAGATTCCTTTTGCACAAACCTATCCATTCAGTTTTTGTCCTGTATTTTCCTCTTTCTCATTCTGGAACCACCAGTCATTCTACTTTAGGACAAAATTACTCTTTTTTCCCTTAGCAAAAACAAGTCCTTCATACCTTTCCTTAATCAAAAAACACACCCTATATTATGCTAAGTGAAATAAATAAGTCAGAGAAAAAGTCAAATACCAAATGATTTTGATGAAGTTTTGGAATATAGGTGAGGTTTGGTGGGGTGAGGTCCAGAGCCAACGACCAAGAAAGAATTCTTGAGATGTCTTTGGTGCAAAATTGTGGTTTTATTAAAGCACGCGGACAAGACCTGTGGACAGGAAAAGCTACTGCCCTGGGCCTGTGAGGGGTGGCTGATTATAAACCTGGGAGTTGGGAGGGGTTTGAGGATAGTGTACTGTGTAAGGAATTTTGGAAGCAAGGTTTCCAGGATGTTGAAGGGGCTAGCTATTGTTGGGAAAAGGAAACTTATTACCATCTAATAAAACCTGAGTCATTAGACCCTTCAGATATATATCAGTGGGCCATGTGCTTGGAGGATGTTTGCCAACATGTATCTTGGTGGTTTAGAGATAAAGGGAAATTTCTAAAGGAATTTTTATGTGTTAAAGTAGACTTACAGGATCCTGGAGGTCAGGCTAAGATTGCCTTTTGCCCTTAGCAAAGTATTAACATTGTAGAGGAATGTCCCTTTGCCCATTTCAAGAACTTGTCAATGTGCTGCCCCCCACCCCCGCCCCAGGGCTCCTGCTTTGTCCTCAGCTAGTCCTCTGTTCCCCCATCAATTTCACTCCTATGTAGAATTTAAGAAACAAAAAAGATGAACTTAGGGGAAGGGAAGGAAATAAAATAAGAATAGAGAGGGAGGCAAATCAGAAGAGACTCTTAACTATTGGAAACAAACAGAGTTGCTAGAGGGGAGGTGGAAGGGGGGGATGGGGTAAATGGGTGATGGGCATTAAGGAAGGCACTTGATATGGGCACTGGGTGTCATATGCAAATTATGAATCCATAAATTCTACCCCCAAAATTAATAATATACTATATGTTAACTAAATTGAATTCAAATAAAAATTTTTTTTAAATATTTTATTTATTTATTCATGAGAGACACAGATAGAGAGGCAGAGACATAGGCAGGGAGAGGAGCAGGCCTCCTACAGGGAAGGGATCTATCCTAGGACCCCGGGATCACGACCTGAGCCAAAGGCAGATGCTCAACCACTGAGCCACCCAGATGACCTGATTTTAAATAAAAAATAAAAAACTTTAAAAACACTCTATTTTCCTTACTTACTTTTCATACACAGTTGTTTCCTTTCACCCTTAATATTTCTAGTAGTTTTAATTTACATATATTGATTAGCATTATTAATCCTTAGAAATTATAATTTCTTTTTTTAGTAATTTTTAAAATATTTTTACTTATTTGAAAGAGCAAGAGAGAGCACTAGCGGGAGGAGGGTTAGAGAGAGAGGCAGAGTACCCACTGAGCAGGGAGCCTGATGTGGGGCTCAATCCCAGGACCCCTAGATCATAACCTGAGTGCAAAGCATATGCTTAACCAACTGAGCTAGCTAATTGCCCCAGAAACAGTAATTTCTAATAAAAATTAAGAAGTAAGCAATTGTGGACTGCTTATTACACTAACATTGTATGGATTGGGAAGTTTATAAATATATTTCATAATTTTTAGACATGTATTCTTCCTCATAGTAAATTTTTCAATATGATTATGATTACAGTAATGATATAGAAGAGGGAGAAACATTTTCCAATTAATTCTGTGAGACTAGTAGCACTCTGATATCAAAACAAGACTAGATATAGTAAGAAAACTACAGACCAATACCTTTCATAAATTAGATGTAAAATCTTCAACAAATTACTAGCAAACTGAATCTAGCAATACATAAAAATTATTATACCCAATGACCAAGTGAAATTTATCCCAGAAATGTAAATTTAGTATAATGCACAAAAGTCAATACAAGTCACCATATTAACAGAATGAAAGCCAAAAACCACAAGATCATCTCAATAGATGCAGAAAAAATATTTGACAAAATCCAGCACCCTGTCATGTTAAAAATATTTAACAAACTAGGAATACAAAAGAACTTCAACTTCATAAAGGACATCTAACAAAAACATGCTGCTTACATCGCACTTAAGGGAGAAAGACTAAAAATGTTCCTTATAAGAACAGAAACAAGATGAGGATGTCCTCTCTTGCCATTTCTACAGATTGTACTACAAATTATAGCCAGGGCAATTAGTCAAGAAAAAGAAATAAAAAAGCATCCAAGGGCAGCCCAGGTGGCTCAGTGGTTTAGCGCCGCCTTCCGCCTAGGGCATGATCCTGGAGACCCAGAATCAAGTGGAGACCCACGTCAGGCTCCCTGCATGGAGCTTGCTTCTCCCTCTGCCTCTCTCTCTCTGTCTCTCGTTAATAAATAAATAAAATATTTATTGAAAAAGGCATCCAGTTAGGAAATAAGTAAAAGGATTCCTATTTGAAGAGAAAAATTAGAAAAACCCCAAATGTCTAACATAATCATAGATAGCAAATCCTAAGGAATCCATTAAAAAAAACTATTAGAATGAATATATTAGAGGAACACTGTGGCAGGATACAATATCAATATATAAAGTCAATTGCATCTCTTTACATTAGAAATTAACAATCTGAAAGTGAATTTGAGAAAATGTAAAATTAACAATCTGAAAGTGAATTTGAGAAAGTAATTCCATTTACAGTGGCATCAAAAACAAAACAAAACACAAAACAAAACAAAACATTGTTAGGAATGTATCTAACAAAAGAAATGCCAGACTTACAAACTGAAAACACAAAATGTTGTTAAAAGAAAATAAAGAACTGTGCCTGGGTGGCTCAGTCAGTTAAGTGTCCAACTCTTGATTTGGCTCAGGTCATGATCTCAGGGTGTGGGAGAGGGGTGGTGGGCACGGGGGTCACGCTCAACGGGGCATCTGCCCAGGATTCTCTCTTTCCCCCTGCCCCTCAGGCTATCTCACTCTCAAATAAATAAATCTTTTAAAAACTAAAAAAAAATAAAGAAGACCTAAATGAAGGGAAATCCCATGTTCAAGGACTGAAAGACAGTATTGTTTAGACGGCAATATTCTCTAATTGATCTACGGGTTCAGTGCAATCTATCAAAATCCCATCTGGCTTCTATGTAGAAAATGACAAAATAATTCCAAATTCATGGGATCCAGAACAGACAAAATAACCTAAGAAAAAATAACATTGGCTAGCTCACACTTCCTAATTTCAAAACTTACGACAAAATAACAATAATTAAGATGGTGTGGTACTGCAATGAGGTACTACAGATATGTAGATCAATGAAAAAGAACCGAGAGCCTAAGAATAAGCCCTCATACTGAAGGTCAATTGGGTTTTTTTTAAAGATTTTATTTATTTATTTATTTGATAGAGAGAGAGAACAAGTTGGGGAGGGGAGGGGAGGGAGAGGGAAAAGCAGGTCAATTGGTGTTTGACAAATATGCCAAATAATTGAAGGGGAAAGAATAGTTTGAAACTAAAGTGGTGGGACAATTGGATAGCCACATGCCACAGATTTAATTTAGACCACTACATCACAGATATACAAAAATTCGCTCAATCTGGGTCATAAGTATTTATATGAGAGCTAAAATGATAAAACTCTTAAAAAAACATAGGAGGAAATCTTCATGACCTTGGGTTTAATAATGCTTTCTTAGTATGTGTGACAAAAGATGGGATATATTAGACATTATCAAAATAAAAGAGTTTTGTGCTTGGGATGCCTGGGTGACTTAGTGGTTGCATCTGCCTTCAGCTCAGGTCATGATCCTGGCGTCTGGAATCGAGTCCCACATTGGGCTCCTTGCGGGGAGCCTGCTTCTCCCTCTGCCTATGTCTCTGCCTTTCTCTCTGTGTGTCTCTCATGAATAAATAAATACAATCTTTAAAAAAAAAGTTTTGTGCTTCCAATAATACCATTAAGACAGTGAAAAGACGAGAGGGAAAGCGAGAGGGAGACGGACGTTGAGAGAACGAGAGGGAAGGAGAGAAAATGGCGTCCACGGATTACAGTACCTACAGCCAAGCTGCAGCCCAGCAGGGCTACAGTGCATACACCGCCCAACCAACTCAAGGATATGCACAGACCACCCAGGCATATGGGCAGCAGAGTTATGGAACCTATGGACAGCCCACTGATGTCAGCTATACCCAGGCTCAGACCACTGCGACCTATGGGCAGACCGCCTATGCAACTTCTTATGGACAGCCTCCCGCTGGTTATACTACTCCAACTGCCCCCCAGGCATACAGTCAGCCTGTCCAGGGGTACGGCACTGGTGCTTATGATACCACCACTGCTACGGTCACTACCACCCAGGCCTCCTATGCAGCTCAGTCTGCATATGGCACTCAACCTGCTTACCCAGTCTATGGGCAGCAGCCAGCAGCCACCGCACCTGCAAGACCACAGGATGGTAACAAACCCGCTGAGACTAGTCAACCTCAATCTAGCACAGGGGGTTACAACCAGCCCAGCCTAGGATATGGACAGAGTAACTACAGTTATCCCCAGGTACCTGGGAGCTACCCCATGCAGCCAGTCACAGCACCACCATCTTATCCTCCTACCAGCTACTCCTCTACACAGCCGACTAGTTATGATCAGAGCAGTTACTCTCCGCAGAACACCTATGGGCAGCCGAGCAGCTATGGACAGCAGAGTAGCTATGGTCAACAAAGCAGCTATGGGCAGCAGCCGCCCACTAGTTATCCCCCCCAAACTGGATCCTACAGCCAGGCTCCAAGTCAATATAGCCAACAGAGCAGCAGCTACAGGCAGCAGAGTTCATTCCGACAGGACCACCCCAGTAGCATGGGTGTTTATGGGCAGGAGTCTGGAGGATTTTCCAGACCAGGAGAGAACCGGAGCATGAGTGGCCCTGATAACCGGGGCAGGGGAAGAGGGGGATTTGATCATGGAGGCATGAGCAGAGGTGGGCGGGGAGGAGGATGCGGTGGAATGGACGCTGGAGAGCGAGGTGGCTTCAATAATCCTGGTGGACCCATGGATGAAGGACCAGATCTTGATCTAGGCCCACCTGTAGATCCAGATGAAGACTCTGACAACAGTGCAATTTATGTGCAAGGCTTAAATGACAGTGTGACTCTAGATGATCTGGCTGACTTCTTTAAGCAGTGTGGAGTTGTTAAGATGAACAAGAGAACCGGACAACCCATGATCCATATCTACTTGGACAAGGAAACAGGAAAGCCCAAAGGTGATGCTACAGTATCCTATGAAGACCCACCAACTGCCAAGGCTGCTGTGGAATGGTTTGATGGGAAAGATTTTCAAGGAAGCAAACTTAAGGTTTCTCTTGCTCGGAAGAAACCTCCAATGAACAGCATGCGGGGTGGTATGCCTCCCTGTGAGGGCAGAGGGATGCCACCGCCACTCCGTGGAGGTCCAGGGGGCCCAGGAGGTCCTGGGGGCCCCATGGGTCGCATGGGAGGCTGTGGAGGAGACAGAGGTGGCTTTCCCCCAAGAGGACTCCGGGGTTCCCGAGGAAACCCATCTGGAGGAGGAAACGTCCAGCACCGAGCTGGGGACTGGCAGTGCCCCAATCCCGGGTGTGGAAACCAGAACTTCGCCTGGAGAACAGAATGCAACCAGTGTAAGGCCCCGAAGCCTGAAGGCTTCCTTCCACCACCCTTCCCACCCCCGGGCGGTGACCGTGGCAGAGGTGGCCCTGGTGGCATGCGGGGAGGAAGAGGTGGCCTCATGGACCGCGGTGGTCCCGGTGGGATGTTCAGAGGTGGCCGCGGTGGAGACAGAGGGGGCTTCCGTGGTGGCCGGGGCATGGACCGAGGTGGCTTTGGCGGAGGAAGACGAGGCGGTCCTGGTGGGCCCCCTGGACCTTTGATGGAACAGATGGGAGGAAGAAGAGGCGGGCATGGAGGACCTGGAAAAATAGATAAAGGCGAGCACCGTCAGGAGCGCAGAGACCGGCCCTACTAGACACAGAGACCCCGCAGAGCTGCACCGACTACCAGATTTATTTTTTAAACCAGAAAATGTTTTAAATTTATAATTCCATATTTATAATGTTGGCCACAACATTATGATTATTCCTTGTCTGTACTTTAGTATTTTTCACCATTTGTGAAGAAACATTAAAACAAGTTAAATGGTAGTATGTGGAGTTTTTTTTCCTTCTTTTAAAGATGGTTGTTTAACTAAAGACTAAACAATGGGAAACCCTTGTGAGCATGCTCAGTATCATTGTGGAGAACCAAGAGGGCCTCTAACTGTAACAATGTTCATGGTTGTGATGTTTTTTTTTAAATAAAATTCCAAATGTTTATAAACAGTAAAAAAAAAAAAAAAGACAGTGAAAAGACAACCCAAAGAATGGGAAAGAGTACTTGCAAATCATATATTTGATAAAGAACTAATTTCCAGAATATATAAAGAACTCTGGAAATTCAACCATAAGAAGACAAATGACACAATTTAAAAACGGGCAAATTATTTGAATAGACATTTCTCCAAAGATATATAGATAACTAATAGGTACATTAAAAAAGCTCAATATCATTAATCATTAGGGAAATGCAAATCAGAACCAAAAGGAGATTACAATTCATTTACAACATGATGGCAAAATGAAAAGTTTTGGCAAGGATGATGAGAAACTGGATCCCTTAAACATTGCTGATGGGAATGTAAAATGCTGCACCCAATTTAGAAAACAGATTGGTAATACTTCAAAATGTTAAACATAGACTTATCATATGACCCAGCAATTCTAGTCCTTGGTATATACCCCAGAAAAATAAAAATATATGGTTACATAAAACTTGAACACAACTGTTCATAGCAGCATTGTTTATAACAGCCAAGAGAAAAATGAGAAAAACCGCAAATGTCTATCAATTGATGAGTGGATTAAATATATGGTATATCATATAATAGAATATATTTGACAATAAAAGGAAGAAGTACTGATACATGCTACCACATGGATAAACCCTGAAAACAATATGCTAGTGAAAGAAGTCAGTCACAAAAAGCCCTGTATTGTATTATTCAATTTCTAAGAAATTGCCATATCAGCAAATCTGTAGAGATAGAAAGTAGATTAGTGGTTGCTTGGGGCTGGCAGTAGGGTAGTGAAAGAAAATGATCGGTGATGAATACCAGGTTTCTTTTTGGAATAATAAAAATGTTCTTTTTTAAGATTTTATTTATTTATTTATTTGACAGAGAGAGTTCAAGAGCACAAGCAGGGGAGCAGCAGAGGGAGAGAGAGAGCAGCAGGCTCCCCACTGAGCAGAGGGCCCAAGGATGCAGAGCTGCAAGGCTCTATCCCATCATGACCTGAGCTGAAGGCAGATACTTAACCAACTGAGCCACTCAGGTGCCCTGAGAAAATAAATACATTCTAAAATTAGATCAGATGATGGTTGCTAACCCTATGGATACACTGAAAACCACTGATTTGCACACTTTACATGAGTGAATTATACAGCATATAAACTATATCTCAAGCACACTGTTAATGAGAAATGATTACACAATAAAAATAACAAATGTACTGTGTACTTATATGTAGAAGTAAAAATAAGACAATAGAGAAAAGGATGAGGGGGGAATACATGGTTGTAAACTTCTTCCATTATCCATTAAGTCATATAATATTATTTGAAGGTATATTTTGTGTTAATATAAAATAAATAAACACTGCAAACTCCAGAGCCATGGCTCAGGTATTTTATCTGGGGGGAGAAGCAGGCTGTCTAACAGAGAACTTTAAATCTCCTCCCAAAAGAGATGACTTCATTTGCAACAGTGTGTGGAGATCAAGCCTAAAGCTGACTCACAGGCCCCTAGATATCTTCAGAATGGGGCTGGTCACCAGAAAGACCAAACAAATTATTAAAAGGTTGGAATGTTCAGTTCTACCTCCCCATTTCCTTGGGAGAGGGGCTAGAGATTGAATTCAATTACCAATGACCAATGATTTATTCAATCATGCCTACATAATGAAATATCCACAAACTTCCCTAAATGACAGGGTCTGGGGAGCTTCCAGGTTGGTGAACACATCAATGTGCTGGGAAATGGTGTGCTTGGAGAGGGCATGGAAATCCTGCACCACTCCCTACCCCCCAATACCTTGTCCTCTCTTTCTCTTCCCTTTAGCTGTTTCAGAGTTGTACCCTTTAAAATAAACCAGTACCAGCAACTAAAGCACTTTCTTGAGATCTGTGAGTTGTTCTAGTAAGTACTGAAACTGAAGAGGGGGCCATGGGAATCTACAAATTTGTAGTTGGCTGGGCAGAAGTGTGGGTAGCCTGGGCACCCTATTTATGGCTAGTGTCTAAAGTGGGGGCATTCTTACAAAATTGAGCCCTTAACCTATGAGGTCTGTGCTTAATGGTGACTTAGTGCCAGAACTGGATTGAATTGTAGGAAAGTCGGTGTTGAAGAATCAGAGAATCCGTTAGTGTTAAAAAACACATTGCCTTTGGTGTCAGAAGTAGTGCCAGGTAACACCACACACGGTGAAAAGCAATTGGGAGGACATGGTAGATTCATTGGAGATCGAGACTAAACTGTAGGTCAGCTCATTTACCAGAGAAAACCTGTGAAAGAGAGAGCCAAGAGAAGACCTGGAAGCAGAACTAATCTCAGTCTGTAGAACAATTTATGCCTCAGGGCATTGTTGAAAACAATAGAGCAATCAGCACACAATTAGTGGTGCTTGACAGGTTTGTGTGGTCAGGGAAATAGACAAAGAGAGCCCTGTGAAAACCACTGTCATCCCAGGGTGACTGTGAGCATACCTTAAACTATGCCCACTAAGGAACAATGTTAGAGGTTTCACACTGTGTGGACACAGGCATTATTTGTTTAGCTACTAGCTGAATTATCTAAATTATCTAAAATAATCCAGCTAGCCACTAAACAAACATAAAAACAACAACAACAAAAAAAGCCCCAAATGGGGAGGAGGAGGAGCCGATATCCAGAGTTGCTACAACATATTATCTAAAATGTCCAGTTTCCAACAAAATATTATGAGATCTACAAAGAAACAGGAAAGTATGACCCATATATCAGGAAAAAAGTAGGCAACAGAAACTGCATCCCTGGGTGGCGCAGCGGTTTGGCGCTTGCCTTTGGCCCAGGGCGCGATCCTGGAGACCCAGGATCGAATCCCACGTCGGGCTCCCGGTGCATGGAGCCTGCTTCTCCCTCTGCCTATGTCTCTGCCTCTCTCTCTCTCTCTCACTGTGTGACTATCATAAATAAATAATAAAAAAAAGAATGATCAAAAAAAAAAAAGAGTGACCAGATATCATATTTTAAAAGACTTTAAAGTAGCCACTAAGGGGTGCCTGGTTGGCTCTGTGGTGGGGTATCTGCCTTTGGCTCAGGTGTGATCCCAGGGTCCTGGGATGAGTCTCGCATTGGGCTCCCCGTCAGAAGCCTACTTCTTCCTCTGTCTTTGCCTCTCTCTCTCTGTCGAATAAATAAATAAATGAATAAATAAATAAAATATTTAAAAAATAAAGTAGCCACTATAATTGTGATTCCAGATTGAAGAAGAAAGGAAGATATGATGACAATGTGTAATCAAATATAGAATATCAATAAAAAATTATTTTTTAAATAAGTACAAGTGGAAATTCAGGAGTTAAAACATACAATGACTGAAGTGAAAAATTCAACAGTATATTTGAACTGGAAGAGTAAATAGTGACTTTGAAGATAGACTGATAGAGATTAAGCAATCTGAACAACAGACAGAAAAGGGCTGAAAAAAAATGTATAAAGCCTCAGAGAAATGTGACATACAATTAAGTGCTATATTGGCTAAGAAAATGACTCCCAATGGTAACTCAAATCCCTAGGAACCAAGTGAAGAGATCCAGAAATTATATATAAGGTTAACACAAAAAAAGTTATAAATATATACTTGCTTTCTTTTCTTCTTTGTGAGTCTTTAAAATATATAAAATTACACAAAGTAATAATTATAACAGTGTATTGTTGGGTTTACAAGATGTATAGGTGTATTATACATAACAATAAAATCAGTGGAATAGAGTTACATGGAAGTAACATTTCCGGATCTCACTAGAATTAAATTAGTATAAATCTGAAGCTGATTTTGATAATTTGATATGTATATGGTAAACACAACAGCAAACACTAAAGACAACATATATATATATATATATATATATACACAAATCATTAATAAAACTAAAATGCAACATTAGAAAGCATTCACTTAATGGAAAAGAAGAATAAAGGGACAAAAAGGTATGTGACATATAGATAACAAAAAGTAAAATTGCAGATGTAAATTCAACTATTTAACTGATAATGAAATATGATTGAACTATCAAAAAAAAAAAGGCAGCGTTGTCAGATTGAATATAAAAAACCCAAAACCTAATAATATGCTATTTACAGGAGGCACATTTTAAATTAAAAAATACAAATAGATTGAAAGTAAAAGGATAAAAATGATATACAAACAGCAACCACAAGTAAGCTAGAGTAGCTATAGTAATAATCAGACAAAATAGACTTTAGAACAAAAAAATTTTATAGAGAGATGTATAATAATAATAAAAGGATCAATATATTAGAAAGCTATAGTAGCTATAAATATATATGCACTTAATAGAGACCATCAAAATACATGAAGAAAAACTGACAAAAATGACGGGAGAAATAGACAATTCGATGATAAAAATTGGAAACTTTCAATTTTTATTTTATTTTTTTAAAGATTTTATTTATTTATTTGACAGAGAAAGAGAGCGAGTACAAACAGAGGGAGTGGTAGGGAAGGGGAGAAGCAGCCTCCCCATGGAGCTGGGAGCTTAATGCAGGACACCATCCCAGGACCTGAGCAGAAGGTAGATGCTTAACCCATTGAGCCACCCATTCACCTGACTTTCAACTTTTAATAATGGATAAAACAATTAGGCAGAAGATCAACAAGAAAATAGAAGACTTGGGGCTCATGGCTGACTAAGGTGATAGAGCATAAGACTCTTTTTTTTTTTAATTTTTGTATTTATTTACGATAGTCACAGAGAGAGGGAGAGAGAGAGAGGCAGAGACATAGGCAGAGGGAGAAGCAGGCTCCATGCACCGGGAGCCCGACGT